CTCTCTCTCTCTCTCTCTCTCTCTCTCTCTCTCTCTCTTCTCTCCTCTCTCTTTTTATACTCTCCTTTCTAGTTGTACTTCGATTCAGTCTCTCGCCTCTCTCCCTATTTCCATTTTCCTTTTTTGCTCGCATCCACTCTCTTGACTCTTACTTCGCAAAAATTTACACGCTGCGCCCGCGGATAATTAACGGATAATTAATAAGTCGCTGCTAGGCGATGGTAGTCATGCCAGGCGAGAATCGATGTATTCGCGAATCATGAAACAAAACTTTTCTCTGTCAACTCTGTATTCATTTTATATTTTTGAAAAAATTTCCTATAAATGCAGATTAAGATGAGAAAGACAATAACATACAATGCAATCAAAATTTTCTTCAATCTTCGATTACAATTTAATAAGTTATAATAAAAATCTTTTTCAATAATAATAAAAAGTATATAATAATAAATTTATTATATATCAGGAAAATAGTGTTAATTAACTTATTCAAATATTAATAAGAGATAGTACCGATATAAAATATGACGTGTGGAAGAGGTATTTTAACTAAAACCGCTTTGTGTAAAGGTATTTTCCACGCGTAAAGGAACAATATTGTTGACCGAAACCCCGTGACAGTCGAAGCGTGACGGGGCAAAATTTTGCTAGTGTTGATGAAAAAAAATTTTTTTCGAGAGAAGGACAACGTAGCGCAAGAGGATAGAAATGCAATCTGCCAGGTATACCCGCGCGCGCGTACAGTCGAGGGGTGGAAAGCAAACGGCGAACCGTGGAAACAGGAGGAAAACAAAGAGTAATCGAGAAGCGTGCCCCAGGGATGTGGGTTACGTTTAATTTGTTGCAGCGCGAAAAAACGCAGCGGAGAAAAAACATAGATAATTGGAAAGTCTTCTCGTTCGCGGGCAGGTCGGAGATGCGCAACGACCTCGGGCCCGTTTTCGATAAGGTTTTTTTCGTTCTATTCCCCATTTTTTTGTCCCTCATCCATACCATCGAATTTTCTTTCTCTTTTTCCAGCGCTCGCTCGATCATTACATTCGCGTATCGGAAATCAAATTAATTTTCTGACGGCCCGGGGATTCGGAGCTTTCCGCTTATACCCCCGACTGTTTTTGACGATACGTAACGACCTCTCCTCTCCCCTTGCCCTCAAAATGTAGGAGCTAGGAAACGACGCTGTTCATCGAGGCGACCATCTCGTTCAAAACTACATTCCAAAATATTAATTCTCCGACGATGCACTGCAATCTATTGTATCAAAATATGAAACTTCTGCAAGCAATCAAACGGAAGATGATTATCAATTCGAGGAACGTGGATCAAGATTTGTAATAATTGGAGCGTGTCAGATATTTGCAAAGTTATTTTCGTCGCAATCGAAGAGACATTTTATACAATGACCCAAAATTTGTCCCGTTTTTCTAGTTTTTACGAATAAAGAGAGGATAAGTTTCGCAGTATGTAAATTAGAGCGACAAACAGACACGTTATGAAAGATGAAGCGAAGAGAAAATAATGTATTCGTGAGAAAAAGTTGAGTTGATCTCGTCTCTCTAGTACATACTTTTCAGTATAAAATGTCATTTTTCGAAAACACATTTTCAAATCTGTAGAATAAAAAGATAAATCGTGAATAGAGGAAGATCAAATAGCATATAAAGATAAAGATATAATTTCTATAATTTCTATTCGCAAATATTCTACGTCTTTTAATAAGTTCAACTATAAGGATATAAAACGAGCAATTATAAAAATTATAAGAGCGATACAAACGTAAACTAAATTCATACAATCTAAATGCACTAAGCATTTACTCTCTAAAAGTAAAATCAGTGTATCATTACTGGAAAAAAAGTAAATATTCGCGCTTACGATTAAATTGTAAATTGTAAGTGTAACGGTGAAGTCACCGATTCACTTTTAGAGAATACAAATAAATCAAGTACAAGTGTATCAAATCCCTGTAAACGTGACATGATTGGCGGTATCTCGATGAGAGGAAGGGAAAGATATCGTAATGACATAGAAAGGCGATGATCCGTAAGACGGGGCAGACAAAAGAGTGAAGCGAACGAGTGGGAGGAGCGGATGGTTGGGGGTGGAAGGAGGGAAAAATTGAAGCAGCGCGCGGATTTACGCGGCGCGTTACCCTAATGAAAATCGCGAAGGATGAAGTTGCGCGCGCGTGGCAGCGGTGGCGGTGGTGGCGACGGCGGGAAGAGATGGTAGAGGGGAGGCGGTCGGAATACACGAGGGTGGAATTAGAATATCAGAGACACGGCTGGAGTAGCGTGGTGTACGTACTGTGTGCCGCGCACACCAACGCGCGCGTCTCCTGCTTGCACGTATATAATACTTGTCAGTGGTTGACAAACCCTCGACATCAATTTCTCTCTCTGTCTCTGTAATTCGCCCCCCTCCTTCTCTCTCGCGTCCGTTTATCTCTTCCTCGCTCCCTTTTACCTCGACGAGGTCTTGCTTCTCTCTTCCTCGCTACTTCTATCACTCTGCCCCCCTCCTCCTCCCCCCCCCCC